AGTTCTGCTGAGGTGTGTTCCTAGCAGTGTACTCAACCGCAATGGGAATCTTCCAGTGCTTGCTCTTGAGACGCTTCTCCAAAGTTTGGTTTTCACCAGCATTGTCCATGCGCAACACATCAGGCAGGAAACCTCTGCTTTGAAGCTGATACAGCTTCTCACAGGTAGGCTCCACCATACCATTTTTCGACTTGTAGAAGTTGGTGATCTTAGTGCCAGTGCAGGCATAGACCAACAGTCTCCAATGCTTGAAAACCTTACCAGTCTCCTTGTTGATCAAAGTACTCTGATCCAAATGCAGTCTGTCATTGTCCAATGTCAACTGCTCTTGGAGATCGGACTCCTTGGGGACATTCTTCTGCTTGGCTTTAGCACGAGAACAAGCTTCACAAGGAGCAAGAGTACCACGGGTCAAGACAATATTGAGGGCCTTGGCAGTCTTCCTTGTGATGTCTTCGCTGCTATGTCCAAACAGTTGATGAGCCTTAGCAATGCTCATCCTAGGTCCAGTAGAATCAGCTTCAATGGCAGGAGTGAGAACTTCAGACCGGCCATGACGCTTGAAATAGAGCGCATAGATCCTGCCACGCTTGGTGTCAATGATGATGTCAGCTGCAAAAGATACACCAGTGGGACTTGTGAACAACTTGCGAAACTCATTGCCTTGTTCAGTCCAGCCTCGCTTGAGAAGACGGTTGGAGGCAAATAGGTTGAACTGTCCATGTTCACAGTATCCAACATCAGTCATACACGCATCCATACAAGGAGAACCTTGATTGTCACAGATGGTACCATCCAAGCGACCAAGCTGGGTAACAGATGCTGTGCCACCATTGGCACACACAGGGGCTTCAGACTCAGGCAAAGGTTGCAAATCATACAGTCCAAACAGGTGACAGGTCATTGAGTAAGATGCACCAGAGTCAACAATCCAGACATTGGGGTCTTGCAAAAGAGCAACAGAATTGGGGAACTCTTGCAAATGCTCAGAGAGCTTGTCTAGCACCTGGACTTGAAGGTCAAAGAGATCAACAACTCCCATCAGGATGTCGAAACCTTTACCACCCCCACCATTTTTACCACGTGAGCCTTTCTTGGGCTTGGGACTTGTAGCAGCAGCATTGACCTCAGTCTTGTCCTTCTTGGGGACATACCACTTGGGCTTCTTGTCTACATTGTCTGGATGGTCCCAACAGTCTGCAGCCTTGTGGCCCTTTCTGCCACAGCAGTTGCAGTTGCCAGTGAACTTCTGGCGGTTGTTGTTACGATTGTTAGGACCCTTTCCCTGCTGCTGTTGTTGTTGTTGCTCACCTGCAGCCATCGAAATGTCACGGTCAGACCTCTGATCAGTGCCACCAGCAGTTTTCTGAACAAGGCGTCTGCCTTCAGTCAACCGCCAGTGCTCATGCATGACATCACACAGATCTTGCAGCTTGAGAGCGTCGCCCTTGTTGTGCTGCTCCATCGTAAGGACAGTGTGATACTGTTCAGGAGCGGCAGCGATCACAGCATTTTGGTCAATCTTGCTTTGCTTCACAGGATCCCAAAACTTGCATTCAATTTCACTGATTCGATTGAACAGGGCAACTGGATCTTCCTTCTTCTTCAGGGACAAAGCCGAGAGTTGCAAACGGAGCTCGACATGGCTAACGGTATCTTTGGGACGGTACCGATCTTCAAGCCCTTGGATGACTAGATACGCTAGTCCACTTGGCCAAGCCGTTGTAATGGCCGCGAAAATCAGTCCAAACAGGATAGGACTGGTCAAAGATACTTGCAAGATCCACATGGCCAAGAGGTTGCGCTTACAGGCAGCCTTGTTCTCAGTCGTTTCATTTGCTCCTTCGGCTTCAGTATCAGGTAGCTCAGCTGCCTTGGTAAGAGCCGCAGCACACTTGTGAATCGCACAATAGGATCGCAGACGCATCATATACATCATATAGCTCTCGGGCTTTCCATCAAAAGTGGGTGGCTTACCCACAGCCTTGCTAATGTCCGTTGGGTCGGACATGACTTCGAGATCTTCAGGGACTTCAGGAACTGTAGGACCACCAGCTTCACTGTCACTTGACAAGGCTTGTGCGTCCTCTTGCTCGATTACTCCAGTATCGACAAGCTCTTCCTGTTCTATCTGGCGCAGTACACGGAACCAGACTCTATCCAGGTCTTGTTGGTTGGCCATGCAAGGCGAACCACAACACCGGACACTTCACTGACTATTGGAACCCTTGGCTACCACCTGGTATCTTCGATATGTCTGTCAGACAGTTGGTTCCCTAACTCGATGCTCTGAACTGCACTGCAGAAGCTCAACTTGGTAAGCACTCAGCCTCAAGTCAACACAGAATCTGTATGGTAAAATAAACTGGAAGCACCACGCAGAACCGTGACTGACTCCAAGCACGACTGGGACTGGCTTGCTCTCGAAGCGTGACTGGGACTGGCTTGCTCTCGGAACGGTGACTGGGACTGGCTTGCTCTCAGAACGGTGACTCGATCCGTGACAGGACTCGAATCGGTGACTGGACTCAGTCAACCGTGACTGCTTCAGTCTTGTTGTCGCAGACCAATTCCTCCTGGCTTCAGACTTGTCTGACGCAGACACAGCACAAGCACTGAACGGCACTTGTGAAGAAGCTGTGTCTTTGTCGAACAATTCTTCTGCCAAAAACAGGAGATTGATCGCACCTCAACGGTAACTTCGAAGTTTGCTAGAGGTGCTATTGATACTTTGCTTTTAACTTTTGGCTATGCATTTATTGTGAGACTATCTGCAGTTCATTGCTTCTCTGCTGCTTCTTTTGTTTGATAGGCTTCTTGATCATGTATTCAGTAGGATCATAGGTAGCTGCTACAGCAAACAGAACTCCATGTCATGGAACCAGAAATCCTGTGTCAATCAGAGTTCACTGATACTCACCGGCACTCAACATCGCGGATGCTGTCGCCCAAGAAAGGGACAGGACGAAGGCGCCGCAGTTACTATTCACCACGGCTGTCTCGAGAGGCACAACGGGGACAACTAAAAGCCAGGAAGGAAATGGAACGAAGGTGTCCTGAAAACCGCTGGCTAGCCTTTGATACCACGACTTGTCTTCGCTCGTGAGAATGAATAGTCAAAAGGATCAACACCAGGGTGGGACGGTGCATCTGGCTCGTGGGGCTGAACAATCAAGCTAACCTGCTTCCCGATTCCAAGAGAATGGGGCACGATTAGGTTGGCCGGATCGCCCACAGCAAAGGATGCCCTTCGAACCGCCCACACCGAATAGCTAAAAAGCCGCCAGGAAGGTTCCAAGTCCCTTTGTTGTCGATCCTTCAACCTTCATCAGTTTACTTTCTCGGTTGGACATCTGAAGAGTAAAGGGGAACTCGTAGTCGTTTTCATATTGCAACTCCTGCGATCTCGTATGCGATTCTATAGATCTACTTGTATGTTGTAGTGTAAGCGTCATCTGACCTTCGCACTGTGGACTTTCGATCGGAAGACCTGCAAGCGAACCTCCAAACAATTGCCCTGGATCCTTGAGTTGGGATGGGATTGATGCCATAGTCCTTTAGATTGGTCAGCTGCGAACATCAAGCTGATCGTCCAAGGAAACATTTGTTAATAAATTGGTGGTTGGAGTGGTTACTATGGCTTATAGAGAAGTATGAAAATGAAACCATGAACCACAGATGCAGATCTGGCCATTGAATGCTTCGTGCGACCAGCAATCTCCGCTGGAGTGGGACCGGTGTAGCCAACAGAAAAATCAACGTATATCACAAACAAAAGCCCTATTATAAATTGAAACTACTCAGCATCCTGTCGATGCTCATCCATGAGCTGCACGATATCCTCTCTTCCATGATCCACAACCTTATTGTACGTTTCTTCGTCCCAAGGGCAGCCATGGGCAACAGCCCATCTCAGAATGTGCCAATTCCCAGACACACCCCAAAAACAAGTTCGTCTATCCCATGGACAGCCATTCTGATGAGCCCATTTCAAAACATCCAGACGCCCTCCACAAGCAGCATTAGGCCGGTCTCTACCGGAGCGACTAAAGTAGCGACTAAGCCATATTTTGTAGTTTAGTCCATAGTTTAGTCTCTTGGGGTGGTGTCTACCCAAGCGACTAAACGTCATACAGACTAAAGGCTTTAGTCAAAACGCTCCTTCACCGACTAAAGGGAGGCTGGTTAGTCGGTGAGCGAGCGTAAGGACTAAAGCTTGTTTAAGAACAGTGAATAAATCCAACAGAAAACAATACAACTGCATGCCACCGAGTTGGATAACAAAATCAGCCTCATTGCACAGCCTCACTATCAGAGCATCCCCACAGAGCTGATAGAGTAGAGGCAAACGATCGAACGTTCGATCCAATGATAGTAGAGGTGCAAACGATTGAACGTTCGATCCAATGATAGTAGAGGTGCAAACGATCGAACGTTCGATCCAATGATAGTAGAGGTGCAAACGATCGTTCCACGATCGAATGATAGTAGAGGTGCAAACGATCGAATGAATGATAGTAGAGGTGCGATCGAACGATCCAATGATAGTAGAGGTGCAAACGATGACAGAGGAGAGGTGTGTTTTGAGTCTTGTTATCTCAGTCTTGTTATCTCAAAAAGTAATCACTTCTGTTAAGTCTTTGTTTGAGTCCTTTAAATCCAC